TGCTAACCGCTCAAGTTTGTATTTTGAAGCATTTATTGAAACATTCTGAAAGTTTGTTCGGAATGGAAGGCGGGGTCATTTTTTTCAGATAAAGTACCGTCAACATGTCCCTTCCACTCTGCACAGGTCTATTTTTCCTGCTCCAAAAGACCTCCAGACCATCAAGCTGTGCAATACATTTGCAAAATGAATTTTTATTGATGAACAAGCCCTATTTTTGAAATGCAGATTAGCATTCAAACTATTGATGCAGAAGCCTGAAAACTGCCTCAATGCAAATACCTTCAGAGTAACTCTGATTGGAAAATGGACAAACTTTTCTATGTGTTGAATTATTTGTTTCCATAGAAACAAACAAATCCACGTGATGTTATAGGTGTGGTTCACTCATTTGAGCAATACATTTGCAGTGGCCACTAGTAGGAATGAATACCTTGTGCATCATACTCTGGAGAAAAAAGCTAAGATGGACCTGTTTCGGGAAGTTCAAGTCAGTCGGAGGAGAAAGTAGCTTCAGACAACGTGATTTGGAGTCTTATCTCCTGATACTTGGACATCTGTCCTCTGATTGGCTAACAGCAACGCAACTCTACCACTGACTCTGTTCCCTTTGCAATTTTGATGTTTTATCTCCACAAATAACACAAGCCTGGAGAAATGCTGCTGTGTGGTGGAGTTGCTAAAGCTAATAGTTAGCTTCTACTAGCCAAGGCGTTCTCTGCAGTTTCCTAGACAGACTATTTTCTATCATAAGCTAGTGCAGGCGGTAGGTGTAGGAGACTATTGTTATGTACAGCCTGCACAAAAAAACTCAGAGTGACCAATTATAATCAGAACTAATCAGTAAAAAATGTTTTTTTATTGTTCAAGAACTTTAAACTTTGAAGCAGTGCATAAGGACAACATCGGTTTCATCCTAAGGAACAACAAAAAACCGACGAGCATAAAATTCAAAGAAGTTGCAACTCACTGAAGTGTGTCCTAGATTTTTAGAATTGTGTATTGATTTTAAAAAAACACATGCACATGTTTCTGCTTTTTGGGGGGTCACATGGGGGGCAGCTGAGTTATAAGGGTGGGCATTGCCCCCTCTGGCTTCCAATATCGGGCACCACTGGCCATATTCAAATTTTCAGAACTCCATTACATAGGTGGAAAAAAAACATCAACAGCCCTGTTGCAGCATAAAATACGGAGATCACAGTCATGTTTGCCCCCACATACACCTCTACAGCAGCTCCTAATGTTATAAAGTCCAAAGCTCTCATTTTCATAATTGAAACCCTTCAACCACACACACACACACACACACACACACACACACACACACACAACCTAATGTCTAACAGCCATGATCAGTCTTAAGACAGCTCAGCTGACAAACGCAAAGACCCTTTCTTGGAAAACACACATGAGCTTGAAGTGTTTGAACGGCTTCAGTAAATCCATGTGTTCTCACAGCCTTCATTATCATCATAATAAAAGTGTCTGAAAAGCAAAGTTACAGAAGAATGCAGACACCTCACTTTCTGCTTTGTACCATCATCAATCACCACAGTGCTTTTTTTTTCTCCCCTCCCTCCTCAAACGCTGGTTGAAGCCATCGTATAAGAAAAATAAAAAATTCACACGCATATTTAATTTCATTCTCCACTGGCTCACACAAAGGAAACTGCCACCCTTTAGGACACCTTTCAGAAAAGTCTCTATTAAATCTGAGTCAGCTAGGAGAGAAGAAGAAAAAAAAAGGGGGGGGGGGAACATTTTAGAAGTGGAAAAGAAAAAAACTTGCTAAATTATTGCCAGACTTCAAATGAAGTGCTGTTTATCTTCTCAAGCAGCCAATGTGTTGTTTTACTTCTTAGTCACAGCTTGGATGACAATCAGGATCGGTCAACCAGGACGCTATCAGCAGCAGTCACTCAGCAGTGACAAACTGCAGTTCCTCCACACTTGGAGAGCGAGGCATTATTCTCGATGCACGGCCCTGCCCTATCAGAAAACAAGGCAGGTTTTATGGCTGCTGGAGAAGGTGGTAAACATAACAAAGTGTGCAGCTCCCTGGAATTTAATGTGCTTGGTCAAGTAACAGACTATAGATATCAAAGGCCAGGGCTGTGAGACGAAACAAGAACTTTATAATGTGGAAAACAAACTCACGCAAGGGAGTCATATGCATGCTTCTTTTGCTTTCTATTTAAAGGAGCAACATGTAAGAATTTTATAGTGAAATAATCACAAAAGCGTCATGTTGGATGGAAGGTTCCACTGGAACAGATTTACTTCTTAACCAGCTGAGAGGGTTGTAACGCTTTTCTCCTTTCAAAAAACTGAAGAGGGATGTAATCTGTTTTTACAATCTGTGAGCCCACAGGATAGCAGGGTCTGCACCAAGCTAACACTGCAGTGCCAACATTAGTAATTCGACATCATCAGGTAAAAAGCTCCAGATATAGTTAAAGAACGAAAGCCAGTAAACAGCAGCGACCCAGAAGTTCCTTCCTGTGCCCTTAAGAAGCCACAATATCTTTTTGTTTTACTCTGGTATAGGGTGAAGCAAGCTAGAGGCTAACATGAGCTAACAATGCTAACGGTGAATTAGAAACAAATAGTTAGCTCTAAAAATATCAAAAGCTACTTTTTCAATCACCATCAACTCAATATTACAGTGAAATGTATGTGTGAGGTGAGTAATGAGTCAATCGTGGTGTTTTAATTCCTTTAACGAGTTGTTCTGAACTATAAATGCAAAACGGCAAACTCCTCTTAAACCTGGGACATACTACCGTAATAAGTGTAGTAAGTGCTCCCTACCATAAAAACCCCAAGAGTGGTAGATACAAAAATGCATTTATCTACTTATCAACTTACTGTGTATTGTATGACTAGTCTTTGCTTATCATCTAGAACAGCCAGTAAACGGCGGTGCAAAAGTTACTTTTGTTTCTAAAATTGTGCTGCAGTAACCAAATTTGACCACAAGATGTCATTCTTACATGTTGCACCTTTAACTTATTCTGAACTCAAAGAGTTCACTCATATGCAGAAACAAGATATCAAACTGAGTAAGTTTTGTCTTCTTAAATGAAAAGACTTATCCAAAGGACTGCCGTCTGTGATCGACTTGATGCTGCGCTGTCACGATGTTCTGAAACTGTGCTGCTAGTGCTCCAGTTACCTCAGTGATCTAATTATCATACGAGATGTTATCACATCCCCTCCATAACAAATGCCTCCCGCCACATGCATGATGTCATATTCAGTCTCTACCGATCCATCCGTGTGTGGCTAATCCACCCAGAGATAGTAAAACATCCACTTGATTCCTTCCTGGTTTACATATTTACACACACACTCGTGCAATTAGGAGCACATTTATTGATGGTTTTGGCACCGCTGGGAGCCCTGCTGAGCAGCCAAGTCCAATAAATCTCCTGTTGCAGAGGCTGCCAGTGGGCAAGACGATAAACCTCATGTAAAAATGGACTGGCATACACTGAACTTCAGAGAGTTTCCAGTCACTGTTGACATGAGGGGTTAAAAAATGATCCATATTAGGGCTTCTGTTAGTGCTTACTACACAAAAAATCTTTTTAGGTTAAACCTGAATATTATTTTTGCAATTCCTGCCACAAATATTTTCTTGAGTGAATCAAGATCCGTGTGTGTGTGTGTGTGTGTGTGTGTGTGTGTGTGTGTGTGTGTGTGTGTGTGTGTGTGTGTGTGTGTGTGTGTGTGTGTGTGTGTCCTTCCTGAGTGCTTCATCATCTAGGGATCATGCTTTGTGTGTACCATGCTGCCCCCAACAGGATCTTTGCTAAATGCACTGTTGAATTCCACACCATCCAGCTGAAAACACACAAGTTCACAAACAAAACACATTTGGAAATAAAAAAAATCGATTCCATTTATCTGAGTTTGTTTTGGAAATGCGACTCTAATTGATGGATCCGCCTCACTCTGGACATGCTCTGTCCCACCATTGATTGGATAATACGGGTTAATGCGCTTGTTTCCACATGGATAATGTCCCTGCGGTGGCGAAAATATGACCCCTTTTTGGGCTGATTTCGACTTTGGGTTTTAACCCCTTTTAAGCACTGCAAAGGCATTATATTGCTTTTTTCTTTTACTTTTTGCAACGTCACAAAGCTTTAAGTCAGTTCTTTTCTGTATCATAGTGGAACATGTAGCACTAAAGTGTAAATTTAAGCGAAATTCTAAGAAAAACTGCAAATCCAAACTCTTGTAAAGCTGATAAAACATGCAAAACACATTTGAGTCTTAAAGGTTTCGATGATTTCTTTCACAGACTTACGTAAGTCAATGTTTACATTTATTACATTTGGTTAAAATCAGGGTGATCAACTAAACGTATCTTTTAGATTAGCGAGACATTTGTTTTTCCACAAAAATGCCAAAGTTTTGGAGAAAGCAACTTTGCGCACCAAATCAAACTCTCACCTGCAGCAGTTTGAGTCATTACGTGTAAGAAAATCACTTTAATCTGATTATAAATTATATTTTAAAGTTATTTACATTTTAAGTGAAGATCACTCTGAAAATGACAGAAGATCTGACTCCCGCCTCTCCGCTGAACCAAGCTGCGCTTTGGCTGCGCGAATCCCTTCAGGTTAATCACATTAGACAGATCAAGATAAAGTTAGACACAAACAGTCCTCTCTTTAAAGTTGTGGTCGCGTAAACAGAGTCATTAAACCCGGCGGAGCGCAGTGGCCCCCGGAGCGCACCTGCTCTTTTATTTTACGCACGCAGTTCCAGCGGTGATTGGGGAAGAAACGCGAGCCTGCTTCGGAGTGGAGTTCACCAGGACGTAAAACGTCACTCTTACCAACAGATATGCTTCATTTTCAGCCAAAGCAGAGCCAGAAGTGCAACTAAAGTGCAGAGAAACGAGTGCGTAAAGTCGCGTTCTCGTACCCGTGGCATTCAGACAACAATTACGCACCGGAAAAACATTTCCACTTGATCATGCTTACCTTTAAAAACTTCCCCCTGAACGGACATCAGCAGGTTCACCACTGCAAACAGCCAATTGAGAACTTTATCCATGTCGGAGAGCCGCCGCAGCGTTAACCCCCAGCCGCGGGGTTTACTGGAAACTCTTCTTTTTATTAGAACAATTACTTTTATCTGGAGTCGCTGCTCCCGCTCCTGCGTGTCCCTGTGGCGTGTTGTCCGGGGAGGGGAGAGAGAGGGGAGAACCAACGCCGACACGGCTGCTCCTTGTCGGCTTGCTCCACTCGTGGAGGAGGAATGTGTGTGAGTGAGTCCTGATTCCTGAGTTACGCTCGGATTGAGCGGTCCGGTGCTCAGCTCCGGGAAAGCGGCGGCTGACTGCGCGTCTGGCCGGTAGAGGGCGCCGCAGAGTCGGTGTCGCCTCCTCCTGTGACTCCCACTGGTGCTGATTTGGAAAAGCTAACAATCACTGAAGTCAGATGAATTTGAGAAGCTTTTAAAATGGTTTTAATTTCAAAAGCATCATTTTCACTTTTATTATTTGGCAGGACTCATGAACACCAGAGGCTCAGACTCCTAACAGAGCAGATGGTTCATTTCCAAAGTATTTATGAAAGAGGTTGTTGTTATGACTCATTTGCACAGACTGGCTTTTACAGCAAACAATAAAACACAATAAGTGCATTAAAATTCTCATTTTATTTATTGTATTATTTTGCTGCAGAACAATTCACACAATTTAAGTATAAACATCTGAAAACTGGTGGAATCAGAAGATTTTTGTATAAAAATCTGTTTTAAAGTGTTTTGCGGAGTCGTATAAACCATTTACCTTAAAAAAATAATCTTGAACATAAATGTTTCCAAGCCAGATGAGCTCAGTGCTGCTTTTGTGAAATTGAGTTAGAAATGATCTGCAGCTCTGTGCATAAAAAACATGAAAAACAAAAGAAAATCTGCAACACAACTAAACCACTCAATGAAATTGCTGGTCCTTTTGAGTCCACTGTGCGTGCTGTCAGCAAAAACATGTATGTGATGCCAAAAAAATAAAATTACAATGCACCACGGTGCAGTTGGAAGAAAATGCTGGTTCTGTGCACAGCAACTTAAATGAATCTGTTTGTCTTTTCATGAGCAAAATGTGTTTTATTTATTTAATGTTTGTTCAGAACTGTGAAAGCTCCTGAATTCATCACCCAGCTCTAAATCTTTGGTCATAAACTAAAATTAAACATTTTGAATACAAAAACTGAGAATATGAAAGCTGTTCCTCTCAGAAATATTTGAGTGAAGATCCAAAAATGATGCACTGTTTTCCTAAACAGTAACTAAAAGTGTGTTTTTCAGTATGAAAGTTGCTAAGGGTCTTTTCAACTTTCAAACCTAAACGATCGAACCGTTTTCTGCCATAAATATAAAAATAAATAGTTAACTATAAAGTTTTGTCTATAAAAATGAGCCAATTAAATGATACAGTTGGAGAAACAAAGCAATAATTTACACCTTAATACTTTCAAATTGGTGTAAAACACTCAAGTGATCAAAAAACAAAAGTCTCAAAGGAATTCGGTTTTTGATAAAAACATTTTGTTTAAATGTCAAAATTTGATGTCAATTAAAAAAACTTCTTTATGTGGTAATTTAACTCAATATAAAAGCTTTTCTAGTAAGATTTTAGTAACATTGGTCTGTAAGTCAGAAAGTTGCATTATTTGAAAGTATAAAGTTGACACACTATTAACTCAACCCTGAAACAGATTTCAGAAATGTAAACACATTTTTGGTCCAACGAGACCTGTTTTAGGCACATTTTGCACTGAAATGATGGAAAGCAACTTGTACTTTTTCATGATCCTGTTGAGAGAATGTTAATTTGCTGCAAACCTAAAATGAGCATCAGAAAAGCTGCAGGTTGCAGACCTCTGTGGGATCGTTAATGAAAATCAGGAGCTGAAGCTCAACTGGACAAACTGCAGAGTGTAGCATGAACTGAAATATATAATAATAATAATAATGCATTGAACTTCTATAGCGCTTTTCAAGACACCCAAAGACGCTTTCACACACTCTCACATTCACACACTGCTAGTGATGGTAAGCTACTTGTAGCCACAGCCGCCCTGGGGAGGTCTGACAGAGGCGAGGCTGCCATTTGGCGCCATCGGCCCCTCTGACCACCACTAACACAGGCAAGTTGGGTGAAGTGTCTTGCCCAAGGACACAACAGCAGGATACCCCTGGCGGGAGCTGTAATCGAACCCATGACCCTCCGATCATGAGGCAACCCGCTCTGCCACCTGAGCTACTCCTGCCCCCAATATTGTTAGTTTTCTGTAAAAAGAAGCAAAAGGAACCTAAAAGAGCTATTAAATTTGTTTTAAATCCCAGTTGTGTATTGTCGGTTAGTGACAGATCAAGTCTAAAAGATAAAATACAGAAATATTGAGAAACTTAAAGTAACACTGGACTGTTGGACAGATGTTGAGAAAAGTGGGTGTGACTCGTCCATTCTTGCGAGCCTGCTTGGGAGCCCTTGCAAGGGCGCATAACGGCGTTGCGTGTCCCCGTACCAACGCAGAAGCAGAAGCATAAACTAGGCTTAAGTCAACAATCACTGAGGTCAATGTTAAAGCTTAAAGTTTAAGAATAATTTAGTGTTAATTTAAAGGGACAATTAGCAACTTTTTCATGTTTTAAATCATTTTCTTTAGCCTGTATGTGCTAAAATGACCCTTTACTGGGTTAATGAAAGGCCACCCAGCCTCTATCACCCCCTGTGGCCAGAATATCACACTTGCAACTTCACAGTTGGCGGTCTGGTCTGTTGGGACTTGGAAAAAATTGAGCTGAGGTACCTGACGCTGCTGTCTGGCCATGGCACGTTTCCTGCATGTTTTATATAATTAACAAAGCTGATTTGTTTAATTTAGTGATGAATCATCCCTCTGGACAGTTAGGAATGCTGGGAGACGTTTCTGCTGTTAAATTAAGGTGTTGTAAAGACGAACGCTCAGCGACGAGATAGTTTTGCTTCGATAAACACATGCTAGGTGTGCTAAAAGTGAGCAAAACTGCTCAGTATCCCTTTAAAACTGTAGAAAATACATAGATAAATAACATTTTATATTGCTAGTAAAGTGATATAAAATGAAATGCTAACTTGTATCTTACACAAGAAACTTCTTGTATTACACAACGGCTGTGATCTCTAGCAGCAGAAAATAATTAGACACCTTACCGGGACTCAAGAAAAAGTTTTAAAGGTTTAAATAAACTGACTGGAGTAGATCCGATCACAGCAGGCAGGATGAAGGCAGAACTGGGTCTAGAAGCAGGCCGGTGGTTCTGGACTTTGGCAGGAATTCAAAACCTGGATAAACTCTGTCAACACGACAAAGAAATATCCAAAAAGAAAATTAATTTAGCTGACTGCGTGTTATAGTTTTAAAGGACAACTGAAGCTGATTAAGCGTGGAGACAGTGCAGGTGTCCCAGCTGCAAAGAGAAGCCAGACCCACGTATACACACACATGCACAACCATCATGACATGCACACAGACCCCCCCCCCCCCCACACACACACACACACACACACACTCACACACATACAAAATCTATCATATTCACTCTAACAATAACACTCATTCATTTGTTCTTAAAACTAGTGCTGACAAATCTGAGTGTCAATCAACCATTTCTTTAATTTTATTTTACATGTGCTTTATGTGACAGAGTCTCTCATGTTTACAGGTGAAAACTAGATTGTCCAAAGGAACTTTTCCTGCAATGTATCACACAATCCCCTCTAGCAGCCCCTCGAGTAACACGTGTTACAGATGATCGAAATTCTGCAAGACTACAAAGAGGAGGTGGAGCTAAGCTGTTTTTGATCTTGTACATAAGACAACAGTTTTTAAAAATGACAAGATTGCTCCAGTTTAGGAGCCTATATTTACCAAGGATTGTGCAATGATGAAAGGATCTTGGTTTTTTTTATCTAGAATTTTGATAGCCTGTTTATATAAAGATTTTAACCTACTTAAAGTGGTGAAGTTTGCAGAGGCCCAAGCAGGTAAACAATAAATTATGTGAGATATTACGAGAGCAAACATGTACATTTTTGCAGCTTCTGTTGACATATGATTTCTGAGGTGCTTAAAATTTACAAGTGTGGAATTTATACATTTGGTTACTTTTTTAACATGTTGTTTAAAAGTCAAGTTACTGCCTAAAATAATACCTAGATATTTGTATTCATTTACATTTTGAATCTTCTGTCCTGAAATAACAACATTAGGTTCTGTATAAACCTTTTTTTGTGTTTTAGTAAAAAACATCACAACAGTTTTAGAGAAATTTAGTTGTAAATGACAGCTATTCAACCAGTTTGAGACATTTACCATGACCTTTGTAAGTTGTGCAGCTGCCTCAAAATGATCATCACCTTTAACAAAAATCACGGTATCATATGCATACACACGCACTTCACAACCATGACACACAGATGGTAGGTTGTTAATGTAAAGACTGAATAGAACTGGACCCAAGATTGAGCCCTGTGGTACACCTGTAACAAGATCTTTAAAAGAAGATCTGTTATTTTGTATTTTGACACATTGAGTTCGATTAGTGAGATATGATTTGAACCAGCTGCACAAAAATTGTGAAAAATTGAACTGAACAAATTTAGACTGAAGGATATCATGGTTAACTGTATCAAACGCTTTTCGTAGATCTAAAAAAACTGCACCAACCTGCTGATTTGGGCAGCCACAGAACCTAGACCATAGATGCTGATTTACATTTCTGCCAGTGGGTGCTCCTGAACCAGAACAATTATAAAGCATCTACCCATTCTTCGTGGGAGGGGGACCGGGGGACAAATTGATTTCGGCTGATAGATAGCCGTAAAAAGTGCCTGTACTCTGGTAGGTAAATTTTCAAAGTGCGTACTGGCTCACTTAAACCACTGGTTTTCTCTATTCTTGAATCATCTAATTCTCTCCTGAGAAAGCTAGCCTAGCATGTACCAGTCTTTTTCTGTGCGTTAGTGCTGTGTACAAATTTGCAAAATCAAGGTAGGTAGTGGGATGTCCCTCTTTTCTGGCATCAGATTGGCTAGAAGAGCTCTCCACTGATTGGCTATTTCAGTGAACTGCAAAGCTTGCTAGCAGCCAAGCAGGAACCCGCATGCTAGACAGTAAATTCTATGAGAATGCTCAGTGTTTGGTCATGGGCCTTGGTGCACGCACAAGAGCTGCACATATTACCTGGACACAACAGTCATGTCCTGTTTTCACGCATTTGCAGTGGTCTCTATTAAAAATGACTGACTTCGGAGGGAAAAAGCTCTGGCGCTCCTGTTATAGGTACTAGCAATGAGCAATAGCAGAGGTGGGCACAAGAGGGCAGGATTTGGAGT